TGGGGCCTGACACAAGATCACATATTACTGGGGCTTAGATGGTGTGTTAGTCTGATAAATTAGTCTCGCAACTTAAAATGGTTTGGGGCCTGACACAAGATCACATATTACTGGGGCTTAGATGGTGTGTTAGTCTGATAAATTAGTCTCGCAACTTAAAATGGTTTGGGGCCTGACACAAGATCACATATTACTGGGGCTTAGATGGTGTGTTAGTCTGATAAATTAGTCTCGCAACTTAAAATGGTTTGGGGCCTGACACAAGATCACATATTACTGGGGCTTAGATGGTGTGTTAGTCTGATAAATTAGTCTCGCAACTTAAAATGGTTTGGGGCCTGACACAAGATCACATATTACTGGGGCTTAGATGGTGTGTTAGTCTGATAAATTAGTCTCGCAACTTAAAATGGTTTGGGGCCTGACACAAGATCACATATTACTGGGGCTTAGATGGTGTGTTAGTCTGATAAATTAGTCTCGCAACTTAAAATGGTTTGGGGCCTGACACAAGATCACATATTACTGGGGCTTAGATGGTGTGTTAGTCTGATAAATTAGTCTCGCAACTTAAAATGGTTTGGGGCCTGACACAAGATCACATATTACTGCAGACAAACTTGTTGCTATCATAAATAAAATAAATTTTCCTAGCTCTTGAATAAATTTCAAAAGTTATAATTGTTTCAGTAATTCTCAAGGCATAAAATATTTTTAACAATACGAAAAAATGCAAATTTTAATTCATTTATACAGATCATGATGACATAGATTGTTAGAATTTTCCAAGCAATTTTCCAAGCGTTTCTTATAGATTCATTAAATACGGGCACGAAAAATAACCTACTTTTGTTGCTCTGCCGTAAATCGACAAACCAAACCCAAACATACCAGCTGAACAGAATTTTAAAGGTTTCAGCAGCTAGTACAAACGTCAGCACATTGTCGCGTCTTAATATTGATTCAACTAGTGCACATTTTTTTGTGCAAAAGAGGTAATATTTGTACACTCGTGCTCACAGTTTGGTTGTTTAAATTGACTGGATACGTCCAATAACGTTTAGTGCTCTAGAGGTAAATTGATCAAGTTACGAATTTACGAGCATGGATAGACTTTCTGAAACTAGTTCATTTTATATTTGCTTCAAAATATGTTGTAGTTAGGTCTGGTGACTTTTGGCGCACTTACCAAATCCATCTATATCGATTAAAAAATAGACCCGATTAAAAATTAAACATCCATAAACACGGCTTTATTCACAAGCTAAACCGGTGAAGAACGAAGATGGTTTCACATGTGGCAATTACGTTAATTTACCACGATGCCAAATGATATGACAAACGGCAGTGTGAAGACAAATTAAACTTTTTCAGCACCGTCTATTTTTATTCACTGTACATTCGTACCATTTTTTTTACAAAAAGAAAAAGACAGGCCTTCGCAACAAGCCCTTTCAAAACAACCGAGACACACAGCAATGCTAGTTACAGGTCCATCGTAATTGCATAGGAGACAAAATTAGGATGAGTAGGTAAGGAAATCAATAATCTTAACAAGGACCAGATTTCTGGCAGTTTTATGAATGTTGGTCGACGGCGGCATCTCGAAAAATTCAAGGACATTTCCATTCACAACTCACGTGAAGGAAGAAGCTAGAGAGTGCACTACAGTTGACCTCAACCCAAGCTTTAATTGGCGGCTGCTTTTAACCAATCAAATTGGGAACGCCACACATGGTGACACTGACCACCATTATCTTTGACCGTTAAACTCGATCGGTTGTCCTAAGTGAACAAACTTGCCAAGTTTTCTTTTGTTGTTTTACTCAAGTGTCTTAAGTTTTTGAACAAACTTGCTGGAGATGGAATCAAATTAACGAAAGGCCTAATGAAGAATTAAACCCATAGATAACCAAGTCAAATAAAAACGTTTGCAAAAAGGTAATACTGGTATATTATACATTCAGTTTCTACATATCCTTTGGGAACGCCACACATGGTGACACTGACCACCATTATCTTTGACCGTTAAACTCGATCGGTTGTCCTAAGTGAACAAACTTGCCAAGTTTTCTTTTGTTGTTTTACTCAAGTGTCTTAAGTTTTTGAACAAACTTGCTGGAGATGGAATCAAATTAACGAAAGGCCTAATGAAGAATTAAACCCATAGATAACCAAGTCAAATAAAAACGTTTGCAAAAAGGTAATACTGGTATATTATACATTCAGTTTCTACATATCCTTGTACGCAATATTTTTTAATCAAACACGACCCCCTTGGCTAGTAACAGAAGCTAACACCTATGGATAGTTCCAGCTATACAACATTTATCAGCATTGCCATGCTTGGGTAACAATGCTGCCTGACAACATCTAACAGCCAAACTGTGTACTTACATGGAAGACAAATATAAAAATCAGAACAGAAACGCACAACACTGTGTACTTACGATATTAAATGGAAGACAAATATAAAAATCAGAACAGAAACGCACAATTACAAACAAATTAAATTATATAAAGTATGTTTCACGACTAAAATTGTACGGAAGATAAAGTTTCTAATTCACAATTAATCTATCTTTTGAAGAATTTTGTAATCAATATCTGGTCAAAATGATACATTTCCTATATCTGGTCAAAAACGATAGATTTCCTATATCTGGTCACAATGATACATTTTTAATATCTGGTCAAAATGATACATTTTCAGATCACTTGGCTACTGATCTCTTGGATACAAATTAAAATAAAAATAGAATTACATTAATCCATCGAAAATTCTGTTTCGACTGGTGTAGTAGCCACAAAGAAAGTATCGCTACATATATCATTAAGTTTCAAACGCAACCCCCAACAACAGACCTGCCAACCTTGACAAGTCCGTCTCAGTAAGGCAGTTGATTTTTCTCCATACTATCGACCAGTTTTCAGTAAGCTATAATAAATATCAATAAACACTATTGTAAAGCTGGAAAATAAAAGTTCGACGCAGCGACGATAAAAATTATGTTTATGTTTTGTTCAACTGAAAAGTTTGTACAGTACGCGTAGACTTTATCTACCACTATTACAGCTGCACAAACTTTAGTTCCAAACCCTTTGCATTAAGATAGAATTTCAAAGAAAAAGAATTCCCCGAGTTTACTCACTAGTTATACTGGCTATTTAAAAAGGACCTTGTATATCTTAGAACCTTTAATTCCTTCCCCATTTTTTTTATGTATGATTGATGTGTGAAGTATGGGTTATAGAATATACAGCTTGGCCTTACTCCTGGATGCACAACTTTCAATAAAGTGCTAGCACCACTTGGTTAATTTCACTTCCTGAACTTCAGAGGTAGATAGTAAAAGAAAAAAGCCGATAACTATTTTTGTAATATTTTATGTATCTGGTAATTCATTCGTTGCACTTTCAGAAACTGGTACTGTCAAGATTGGTGAAATTCATTTTCTCTATTTTAATAGTTGCCTTGGATAGTGTATTTTAGACTAAATTCAAGATGATTTTTGGAGCACAAGGGAGCAGTCATTTTAGTTAGCATTGTGCTAAGATCATTTATAATTTCCAAAAGTACAATATCCAAAGAAGTGTCAACTACATTACATGAAAGAAGCATAGAGGTATGCCAACATTCTCTCCACTTTGCATTGTTTTAAATGCAAACAGCTTCACATTACAAAAGTCACCCTCTCAAAAGTACACACTAACTGATAAGCGCCCCCTTAAACATGCACCGCGTTTTGGACATTTTAAACAAACAAAAATTATATAATCAACAGTTTGATGATGCAGACACTTTACATGAACAAATATGTGCTGTATTAAGCGCCTGGGGTGCTGCTGTAAAGTTAGTCTGGTTTACTGACTAATTGTATTAATTCTAATTATGAAACCATGATCCATATCATACACAAATGAACCAATTATCCGGACTTTTTTAAGCAGTAATCATTTTTCCAATAATTTTTGCTGGTATACAGTAAGTCCTTACTTTAAGGATAATAGTCTTAAGACCTACGGCAAAATCGTAAAAGTTGGCAGGTCTGCAACCCCTCCCCCTTAAGTGGACACGTATTTCACTTTCTTATCAACTTTTTTAACTACGTTATACCTTTGTATAAAGACCCTATAAATCTGCACAGGAGCTACACAAGTTACTAATAATACTGAAGTACCCAGCAATAATTTTATCTACTAACATTGTTTCCTAATCACTGGAAATCTCAAAGCAAGTCATGTGATATTTTGCAGATATTAATTATTTTCTAGCTCTGAAACTTCTTTGTATCGTGGATGTCATCTTCACTAGCCCAGGTTCCGATATGACAACCGTACCTATACATTATCGTATCAAGTAGATGATGATGTGCTTTGGGTCCGAAATGTATTGCATGCGGCGGCATGCCACCGCATCCAACTTACAAAGTATTTGTTTAAAGTCAATTATCTTCACCATTTTCGACCGATGTACAATGCACATCTCTTACATGCTATTGGTTAGTTGACACTACATATTAGGTAAGGGATTTTATGACTCCAATAGATGTCACCAGGACAAACGCAAGAAAATATATGTTCGATCCTCAAGATATAGATGAGTGATTATATCGGACCCTTGGCTAGCAAATATGCACTGATATATTTATCATTCGCTGAAATATTCGAACTCTTGTCCGCTTTTCAAAGAGAAATCGACATCTCTCAAACTCGTGTGTGTGTGTGTGTGTGTGTGTGTGTGTGTGTGTGTGTGTGTGTGTGTGTGATTTAGAGTTTTAAGGTAGCTTTAACAAATTTCAGTCATATAGCTGCGATGTCTGCAGTGTGACCGTTTTTAGTGATGTCTAGCACTAGGGCATCATGCCAAAGACATGTGGCATGATGTCCCACCTAGCCACGTTATTCTGACACCAGGCCAACCAGTCCTAACACTAACCTCTTAATGCTGATCGCCAAGATGGTGCAGCTGTTAGTACCATTTTCGTAAGTCTTTGGCATGACTCGGCCGGGGTTCGAACCTAAGACTTCCCGCACACAAGGCGGACGTTCTAACCACTAGGCCACCGGAGCAGTAAAACTCGGGGAGTCAAGTTATCTTAATTATAGCAACGAACACGACGTATTTTGTACCTGTCTGTTTAGGTAGCAACAGTAAGAAATGGCTCTTATGGGGGTGGAGGGAGCTATAATCTCTCCGAAATCTTCAAAACTACGACTCAAGAAAAGTCCAGAATATTGTTTATGTTTGCATATTTACACATCTAAGAGACAAAAATCAGGATTCACAAGGAGACTCGATTATTGTTGCTTAAGACAAAAATCACGTTTCACTAGAGCGAGACACTTATAGATAAACTACTGACAAATCGAGTTTCACAACAGCAAGAGACAATTACTATTGCTAATACAAGGAAATCATGTTTAACATAAGCAAAAATCAATCATTGGTAATCCAAGCCAATGGTCACGATTTACCATAGCGAGATGATTCTGGAGAATCCAAAACAAAAAAGTACGTTTTACTGCAAGTCACTATTACTGAATATCCAAGACAATAATCACGTATTAAAATTGCTAGACCCGATTATTATTGCTAATCCCGGATAATAATCACGTTTAGTTTTATTATTGCTAATGCAAGACAATAAATCACGAAATTACAATAATAGTCAGACATGATTATAGTTCCAGATTGAAGATACTGATTCAGCAGTGGCTGTCAATATCACATGGCAAAATCGTTAAGAGTTCTATTGGATGCCATGTGCCCGAGGATCAAAAATCGTGCAGGTGTCACGTATAGCTAATTCAGTATTTTGCGACAATGAAAAAAGTCTCAAATGGTACAAAACTCGCTTTTTCCCAAACATTACGTATTGATTTCAGTCGAGACAGGAAAATCAATATTTCACAATGCAAAGTAATGACCAAACCATGTCTAAAGGTGATGCGTCTAAGCTGATTGAACGACACTGTTCTTACAAAGATTTCATAACATGCAACAACAACTTTTAGGAGCGAAAACATCGAATTTATTGTCTTATCACGAAAGGGTATTGTCATAAAAAAATAATTTCTATTTTTCTTTTAAACCTTTATCCCTATGTCTCTTCTGCAAAATATTATTTTTTTTTTGTATTTACAGAAATTTGTTTGATGAATATGTTCCTTGTGTTACAGTTTTGATACAGTCCGTTGTGGTAAATGAACAAAACCGATCCATGAAAGACAGGACTGAGCAATAATTATAGGCTTATTTAAAGCTCTCGCTTCATTAAGAATAAGATTTACTTTATAAAGGGTCTTATGTAATTAATAGCGGCTTAATACTAACACTGAGCTAATTAGGTATTAAAAATTATAATACGACCTTGTAATAATGCTACTAACTAGTTAGCGATTATACCAAAAAGCCGTAATTGTATACATGCAAATAACAAAAATAAGATTCATAAGAAAACAGGCCTACTTATGTTTGCGCTGATACCAATTTGAAGGAAAGGATGGTGTAATTCTTTATTTTGGCGACCGTAAACAACGAGTTACCTGGCATTCATTCCTGCTTGAAAGTAAAATATGTTCATGGCACGTTTCGTTCACAATATGACTGCTTTATACAAACCTATGGCGAAAACCTCAACGGCGCGAAGTCATGTTTGAATAATCTTTAGATTAACAATGATTCATTTGTAACTGGACCGGTGATGTTCAACACTGAATAACAAATGCAGAGACTATTTGGAAACTAATTTGAAACCAAACCCGAGTGGCCTCTCCAACTAGCGCGCACGGGTATTAATGCTGAATAATGAATTAGGCAACGTTTGTCCGCCTTCTAATAAACAAAAAAAAAAAATCACAACCAAAGGTTCGGCTGGATTACAATGGGGTCAGAACATGGACGTCAATACATTAATTATGCCACAAATAGACAAACAATGACCCAGTGCAAAATCTATCTATTTACAAGACAATATATGACGTGGAAAACAGCGCAAGATTTCATCCCTCTAAACTGATTAGCAGGTGAACGTGAGGATGATTTGCTAAGTGTCATCCAAGTATGCCTTTAGTATTTCAAACTACGTGTCTTTTTCTTGCGAAACTATGACGCACAGGGCCCCTGGTGCTCGATTAGTCTAAAGCGTTCACCTTTACCAATCAATGACATCACATCTCTGTCCACGTGCGTTATAGTTTCTGGTTCGGCCAGTGTGTGTATGCCAGCAATATTTGCCAGTAGCTTCGTGTCGGTACTTCGTACCAAAGGTGCTCGACGGTGTTGAAAAAAGCAATAAGGGAAAACCGAAGCGCAGATATTTCACAAATTTTAGCTGCCCTGACAAGACATACGCTCCTGTCCGGTGCAACGAGCTGTAGAACTGAGAGATACGGTATTTGCAACTCTACAATACATTCCTTCATTAATCTGAGAATAGTGATAGATTTTGCATCTTTGTTCTTACTTAACATTGACTCTATTCAACTTTAGGAATTCTATTCCACAGAAGAATTCTCAATTCCACACAAATCTAATACACTATGCGGCATATAGTTTGATTGGCGCAAAGGGTAATATTTCAAGAACACCATTGCATCTGGTTCACGATGTAACCTTTCGAGCCAATCATCACGTTCTACAGGAGAACAACTTTGTCCAGGCAGGCAAAATTCGCAAAATTCGAACGTTTCGGAGCCAGTAACATTAGTTTGGTGCAATTCGGAAAAATAAATGGTTTGATGAACAGAACGATATTTCAGCATTAAAAATAAGCCACAGCTTATGGTCATGTGCCTTTAAAAGAGGAAATATCACAATGAAATCGAGTGCCTTGGCTGGAACGATGTTCTTGGCAGTTACCTTTCCTCTTGTATAACAGGACACAAGGGAAATCTGGTTAATTTTGTCATTTGCTATGATTTTTTTCACTTTAGAATATGATAGGGTTTTTTCAACATCAAGCTTGCGTCGAGCACCTGTGGTACATACTCGAGTTTTACAGGGTTTCTCTTTCACCAGTTATACTAGCCATCTTGTATAGCCTAACCAGCGACGAGAAATGACGTTAGCTCCAAAACCAGTAAAAACATCATGTACGCAACTGCATCGTAGTCTTTTGAGTAATGCGTCAAGAATGCTAACCAGCCATTTTGTATAAGTCAACAACGAATTCATATATTGACGCACTATTTAAAACTCGGACTGAATGGGCAAAAGCCCTGGCGAAGTGTATTAGTGCCAGTGAAGAGCCTTGTCTGCGGCCCAGCATGATCATATTTAAATGTTTCTATCCTAAGCAAGTGGAGCCAACGAGCACCGAGCAATATACCACCGTTTCTTTACAAACAATATTGTCTTTGCATGTTCGCATATTTCAAAACCTGCTAAAGACAATCGAAAAGTATTAGCAGCAAAGATTTGATTTTACATGATTAGTTGTTTGACGCGTCTTTTAATGGCATATAAGCACAAGAAAATGATTATGAGATGATTTCTAACGTAGTTTTTAAAAAAAATTTCAGTCATTTCGCTACGATGTCTGCAGAGTGGCAGTTTATAGTGATGTCTAGCACTGGGGCATCATGCCGCAGACATGAAGCATGATGTCCCACCCAGTCACATTATCCTGACAACAGGCCGACCAGTCCTACCACTAACCTCTATGCTGAGCGCCAAGCGAGGATGCTGTTAGTACCATTTTTTTAAGTCCTTGGTAAGACTAGACCGGGCATCGAACCCACGACCTCCCGCATCCGAGGTGGACACTCTAACCACTAGGCCACCGGAGCGGTTCACGAATAGGACTATAGAGTACTGGGGTAATAAAAGAATGGTCTTTCGTTGAAACAAACCACGGCAGCCAACCAGGCTGGTCGAAGATGCGAACCTACGCGCACGGGTTAATAGTAATTACAACGGGGCCACCACGGCCCGAAATGCTACATATCTGGAATTGACTAGGTCCTGTAGCAGCAAAACTTGCAAAATTATAACCCACAAATATCTATCACTCTGAAGGCACGATGTATAATATTGGTGCTCATCGTGAATACACCACCTACAATAAACAGTATTATAATTGCTCAGCGTTTCAAAGGTCTGCATCGAACAAACGTGTGATCTTTAAGCAAAATAAAAAAAAACTACCACTTGATTTGAGCAGAATATTATGCCATCTTTGTCATGACTAGCATCGCGAGATTTTGGGACTAGTACATAACTTGGACTTCTTTGCGATATTTCCAGTTCCTGTACCAGTGTCAGCACGAGATTCAGACACAGAAACTACAATGCAGAACCCAGAACCAATGTCTGCACGTGATTTACGTACTTTATTAATATGCTTAGTCGATGACTACATGCCAAATTATTTGGAGATGATTAGTAAACCCTATAAATTACAATTCAGAAACCATGCTTGCGCATCATAAGACAGCTTTCTCCTTTAATTGCGGTGCTTGAAAAGAGATACATGTTGAAAGTAATAAGCTGAAGCAAAGCAAATCAAACCGAGTGACAAAATTACCTCAGATTACCCACTTGTTATAGGTAAAATTCGAGCAATTGGTAACGTTTCTGAGACTGGGACTTCGGTTTGGTGCAATTAAAAAAAAATCAATGATAACTTCATGAACAGAAAGAAATACATCTCAGGAGCAAGCTAATCCATGGACTATATAGCGTTATGTCTTCAAAGACGAAGGCAAATCGAGTGCCAATTGAAGAACAAAGTTTTTGAACCCAGTCACATTATCCTGACACCAGGCCGACCAGTCCTAACACTAACCTCCTAACGCTCAACAGACATGTAACATGATGTCCCACCAAGTCACATTATCCTGAAACCAGGTCGACCAGTCCTAACATTAACCTCTTAATGCAGAGCGCTAGGAGAGGAAGCTGTTAGTACCATTGTTGCAAGTCTTTGGTATGACTCGAACAGAGATCGAACCCACGACCTTCCGTAACAAAGGCCGACGCTCTAACCACCAATAGGAATATTAGTTCAATACATTAGTAAGCAATATGCACAGTTCTGCTTGTCAAAGATTACATTGGTGAATATTTA